GATGGACAATAACCAAGTGCTGCGGAAAGTGTGGAGAAATAGGAGCCTTCATACACTGTTGGCAGAAATGTAAAATAGTGCATTTACGTTGAAAGACAGTCTGGTAGTTCCTCAGAAGGTTAAACGTGTAGTTATTGTATGATTTAGCAATTCTACTGCTAGGTACATAATGAAGAGAAGTGAAAATATACGTCTGCAAAAAACTTGTACACCAATGCTCACAGTAGCATTATTGATAATGGCCGAAAAGTGGAAACAATCCCAAATGTCCAACGTCGATCAATAGATCAACAAAGTGTGGTATATCCACAGAGTAGATTATTATTCAGCAATAAAAACGAACAAAGCCCTGATACATGATGTACCTATTGGTACATCAATGGCAAGAATGAACCTCGAAAACGTTATGTTCAGTGAAAGAAGTCAGACACAAAAGGCCACATAGTGTAAGATCCCATTGTTATATTCAGAAGAGGCAAATCTACAGAGATAGAAGGCAGATTAGTGGTTGCCTGGGGTTAAAGGGAGGACAATGACGAGTGTCTGCTAATGGGTATAGTGTTTCTTTTTGGGGTGATGAAAATGTCCTGGAATTACAGCGATGATGGTCACAAGCCTTTGTGAATCATTAAAAATCCCTGAATTGTTCATTTTAACAGGGTAGATTTGATGGTGTGTGACTTGTAGCTCAATTAAAATAATGGCCTGGTGTGAGATATACATAAATACAATTTAAACATTATAGAAATACATAGAAATAAAACGTTCCTTATACTCCTTCCCAACTTTGCTTCCTAGTTTTATCTTGTTCTCTACACTGCCTTTTTGTTTTGAGAGAGAGCAAGAGCGTAAGCATAGAAGGGGGAAAGGGAGGGGGTGAGACAGAATCCCAAGCAGGCTCCCTGCGGGGCTCCATCTCACCACCAGGAAATCATGACCTGGGCAGAAATCAAGAGTCAGATGCTTAACCGACTGAACCACCCAGGTGCCCCTATACTGCCTTTTTAATACTATGTAGATTCATGAAGCAAAGTAGGACCTTGTTATACACATTGTTTGGTTACATTTTTAAATATGACCTGTTCATTTTTTCATCATAGAAAATAAGAAAAAAAATTCCCAAACTGACTTTTTAATATAGCACACCCAAAAGTCACAAAGAAAGAGATTGAGAACTTGACTACGTGAAACTCAAAATTTTCTATACGCAAAAAGAATTGCCATAAAAATAGAAAGAAAGAGTAGGAGAAAATATGGGAAGCATGTCTAACAAAAGGTTAATATTCCTGTATTAGGGATTAGGGATCCTATAAATTGGTTTAACGACGAACACCACGAGAGAAAAATGGGCAAATGTGTGAACCGGCAAGTCACAGGAAGGGAAATATAAATGGCACATACCCAGAAGAGAAGAGGTCAACCTCATCAGCGATCATTTTTTGCCAATCGGATCGGCAAAAATTAAAAGGACTGGTAACAGCCAGTACTGGCAAGAACAGGGGGAAAAGGATATTCATAAATTGCTGAAAGATATGTGAATTGCCACAACCTTCTGGGGAAGTAGTTAGGTAGTATTTCACAAATAAAGCACAACCTTTAACCACTTATGGGATTCTAACCGACAAAAATAAAAGCACCACTACTAAATATGTTCACAAAAATGTTTATTGCAGCAATGTTTATAAGAAGGGAAAAAACTGGAAACAACGGAAGCACTGGACTGTCTGTTGGTAGCTGACAGCTGAATAAATTGTGATTTATGGGGCCCATGGATATTAAAGAAGTATGTTTTAACCCTATGTGATTGGCGTAGAGGCGCATACATAGTAGATAGCTCTGTGAGAAAAGCAAGTTGCTGAGTAATTATACAGTAAATGCCATTAAAATAAAACCCCTAGAGACAGGAATATGTGTTTGTATCCTGTTATAGGCACAGAGAAAGCCTGTTAAATTTGGTATGTTAGGGCCTGGGCATGCTGTGTTTGATTATTTCAAAAAAGAAAGTAATTTTAAAAGATGGTGGTTGAGAAAGGACAATGTTGTGCTAATTTGAGCTTTCTTCAAAGCTGGAGACAGAAAGGATGAGAGAAGTCCGTGTCGATGAGACAGCATAACTAGAACACCTTACAGGTTATAAGGAGTGCTAATACTTTTCTTCTGATCTATCATTTTTGGCTCCTTGCAGAGGTGAAGGAAGAGAGGCTGGGAAGGAGCCTGGCCCGTCAGACTGAAGCACTGGACAGGTGGCTGGCCGGAGGTGAGAACTCTTTGTTTGGTTTCTGACTGACGTGTCTCCTTGGGGCTCAACTAGAAGAGAAGTCACCTGGACATCTCACCAGAGCAGATCAGGGCAAAATCAGACCAATAGATGTTGGCCTCTTCTGGATCAGTTCAGTTCAGGAAAACGAGTTACAATCCACATTGCGTATGACAGATCTACCTTCAATGTTATTACTGGGGAACACACTTCCACTGGGGTCAAAGTAACTCCTGGAAGCTAGTTATTAACTCAAAGAGACGCAGTCCTGCTGAGTCCCTGAGACCTAATCTCTATTCTAGGAAAACCAAAATGTCAAATTGGGAAAAACTTTAGCTGTACTCTAACAACCCTGTCTAAAATGCCCTTCTGAGAGGGACTAGATGTGATTCCTGAAATGGCAGTTTTGGTAAAGGTTTCTTCTTTCAGTGTTGAGAAATGCAAATAATCTATTATTATTTTTTGGACAAGTAAAAATAAAAATATTTTTAAGGCGGTGGTATTTTTCTTTTTTTAAAATAAAGTTTATTTATTTTGAGAGAGAGGATAGAGCATGAACGGGGGTGAGGCAGAGAGAGAGAGAGACGGGGAGAGAGAGAATCCCAAGCAGGCTCCACACTGTCAGGGCACAGATCCAGGCAGGGCTTGATCTCGTGAACCATGAGATCATGACCTGAGCTGAGATCAAGAATCAGACACTTAACCAACTGAGCCACCCAAGCGCCACTAGCGGTGGTACTTTTCAAGGGGACACTAATCCTGTTCATGATATTTTATAGGTTGAATGAATCATCCTTTTGATTGATTCATTTAGAGCTGAGAAGTTCTAAAGGCAGACAAGTGATGTGGCCCAAACACACAGGAAAAATACATGTGCTCTTGTTGGTGGCATTTGATTTGAAGAAGTGACTTTAAACTCTCTTTTGGGACATGAGAGAGACAAAAGGAGATTATCAGAAACTGACAGTTCCTAGAACATATGCAAATGTCAGGACAACATAACCCTTTTAGCTTCACGGTGGGGCTCCCCTTAAGGGAGCGTCAAAGACAAAGACATTTGTCCTTTTCTCAAGACACCAATCCTTGGCAAGATAAATCGTTCTGCTGATGAACTGGACCCAGTGACCAGGCTTCTGCAGCAGGGGCATTTATGAACAATGTCAGGGGAAAAAAGAAAACCTCACCTTGGTTATGATCAGAGAAAGAAATGAGTGAGGGAAGAGAGAGCATAAGGTTTCCCTGTTTTCACAAGAACTCAGTCCTCTCAGGTCAGGGGCACAGGCACAATCCTCCACCCCAAACCTGAGGGGATAGGTGCATTCAGACAGGAAGAGTTCCCATCTACATTTCTTTTCTAATTTTTAGCAAAATTAAATCCTTTCAGTATGTTTCTGTCTTTCTCCATTTTTCCCAGGCAGTAACAGAAGAGCAGGGACCAGGCTAGCTAGCAAGACGAGGAAGTGACCACAGGGCATCTCTGCAGTTGGCACAGGGAGCTTTGGGATCTATTTTCAAAACACGCCCTAACTAAAACCTCATGTGCTCCTTGCCAATCTCGCAGAGGCTGAATAAGCCGCACGTGGCTCTGTGAAAAGGCCCCTCACCCCGTGTGGCATTTCTGCTGTCTGGTTGGGTTAACATCCCTGCTCTACTAGGGGCTCCTATCCAGGGAGCACAGACGCGAACCGAGGGCACTGGCCTAATGAGGACCATGCTTCATTTCCTCCTGTGGCCTTCAGATAAGCAGCTCTGAAGCGGGACTTCTCACTGGGTTTGCTCACGCTGCTGCTCCCGAGGCAGGTCTGAGACCCGGGTGGCAGTCTCAGGTTGGTTCCTTGTCAATCAGCCAGACATTGCTAGATCATGACACGGGCTCCCTCAGACCTTTGCAGGGGCCTCTCAGGTTACGGTGGGAAAGGGGAACGAACGTACGGGGTGTCTATTCTTTTCTCTCCTTAGCCACGTGAGTCTTGCCTACGATGTGGCTGGTGTTGTTCCTGCTCCATCCCCCAGCATTGGTAAGACGGATGGAGCCTTGGGAATTTTTATCTATGAAGCACTCTGCTTTCCGGGTGGGAAGAGACGGGTCCTCAACTCCACTACTCCTCAATATGACTTCTCGTCATTTGTGGGGAGTTTGGGAAAGGGTATGTTACTCAGTTATGTGTGACTGACTAGGGTGCTTCTGCGGTGACCCTGGGACCAGGATGGATGGTGAGCTGTCCGCTGCTCACCAGTGGACAAGGGATGGTCCCAGGGTCTCCTGTTGACAAGGAAAACTTAAAGGGTGCCGGGAGAGCACCTGTTACTGAGGGTCTGTCTAGTGTCAAGCAGTCAGTTTTGAAAGCGATTCTATATTTTCTTTCACACTGATGGGGTGCAGGACGAAGATGAGGCTGAGGACTAGGGTATCCTTTCAAAGCAGATGGAGAAGGAGAAAGGGAGGTGGAAGGGGGAGATCTGAATATCTCAAGCTTTCATGCATTATACTTAACATTTTTTTTTTTTTTTTCTGAGCAGCTTGCCTCTGTTTGTTGAGTACTGAGATCTACATCAAATTTCAAGTGCCTTCTAGGACAAAAGTGGTGAATTTGGAATGACTCTGAAGCATCCTGCCTCTGTGGATGGGGGAGGCAGTCCCTTTACTGGGACCTTTAATCTGGGAGTGGTGGGGCAGCAGGTAGAGTCCAGGTAAAGGACCGCAAGAGTGGACCACATGCTTGAATTTATGCGGGTTCCCTACCTCCTGGCCCCTGTCCTGCACAGGACACGACTCACTGTCTGCTTCCGAGAACGATCCGGATTCGTCGCTGGAGTTGGTTCCATAAGACTGCTCACATTTAATTTGGGGTCGGACTTGGTTGTACATTCCATCTCCCATCAGGCCTGGTTCCTGATGTTCTGTGGCAAGGAATCTGGCTCCCTGGGAACAGGGCGAGGAGGAGAACTCACAGAGAGGGAGGCTGCAGGGTGAGCCCCCACTCCCGTCCTCTGCGTAGGAATAGGAAGAGCACGAGCTGGAGGTCCTGGTCCTGGTCTCCAAGGGGGGCGAGCGAGGGCAGACTTTGATTGGCACCGGGCAGCTAGTGTTGGGCCGTATCCTTCCTGGCAAATGGTCAGCCATCAGCCCACCGTGGGAGTAGGCCTGTGAGCTGGGGAGGGACTGGCCAGCCCCCACCCACAGACCCTTTGGCACCGGCTCAGAGAGGTCTTTGTCCAAACTGCTTACCCCAGAATATGAATGCACCGCAGTGCTCACTTGGTCACAAGCGCTCGAGGAGAAGATCACACTTCTCCGGTCCAGCTCTCCTTCCTGTTTACAGAGAGCCTCCAACCCAGGCCCCTTGAGGGGCGACCCCATGGTGAAGTTGGACACGTCCTTCTGGCCCAGGTGGGGCTGTCCGTAACTCCCCGGGAAAGGGGTGTAGTCAGTTTTAAGGTCACCCTGAGTGATCCCCTTGTCAAAAGGGCACGCTGAACTCCTGGCAAAGTGCTGCTGAGAGGTACCGGGCAGGCCAGACAACTCCACACTTTTTGTTATGAACAGAGACCTTAAGCAGGAGGGGGAGGACACACTCCCGGATCTCTCCAGGCAGGTGGCCCCGGCAGGGGGGGCGGGGGCGGGGGCAGGGCTGGGCTGTTTCCGGTCCATTTCGACGTCCCCCGCTCTGTCCTTGATGTCAGGCTCATCTCCGGACAGGCAGAGCGCGATGCTCTCTTCCTCGTTCTCTTCACTGGGCGGCTCACTTTTAATCTGCCCCATGGCAAGCCCCGGCTTGAGGCTGTTGCCAGAGTTATCTTCACTGAATGTGCTTGCAAAACCTGAGGTACTGTGTGATGATGCATTATAGACATTCTTGGTACATGCAAGCTGGTATTTCTTGTATCTGGGGTACTGCCTTAACGCGTCCTTCTCGGAGCTCTCCTTGCTGTCGGGCGGCACATCGGACTCGGGCAGCAAAGCTTCTTCCTTCTCTGCTACTGGGATGGCAGCGGCCTCAAAGCTGATGGGGTCTGGAAGCATCTGGTCCCTGGGGCAAGCCACCTTGGCCGTGTCCGAGTCCATCGTCTCCTCCTCTTCCTCCTCCTCCTCCCCCGCGGAGTTCTCACGGTCCTCGTGCGCGCGGGGGCACGCAGCGTCCTTTCGGCACACGAACAGGCCATCCTCGCTGTTCAGGAGCTGGGTCTGCAGGAAGCTGAAGCAGGAGTCCTCCAGGTTATGCATGCGCAGGAACTCGGCGCAGCGGATGACCTCGCGGATGTTTTCTCTGCTGAGTAATAGCTTGGCGGTGTAGGCAAACTGTAACAGCGGCCCGAAGCCCCTGGCCGTGACCTGCAAAACAAACAGGGAAATTGCCGACGTTACCATCAGCACCGCTATTGTCCCGAATCCCTCAACTGAAGCAAGATAACCAGACAGTGCTAATGTCCCAGAATAAAGACTGCAAAGGAGCAGTTAATCTCGTACTGGGTCAGCAGTGATTCTGCTTCCAATAATTAGTGCCTGTCTCGTGCACGCCTGGGCTCCACTTCATCACCTGGCACACAGAATTGAAAATCACCAGGGTCAAGTGGCTAAACAAGATGACAAGGGGTTCAGTGTTTACACTAATGAAATATCCTGGCAAAAATGCACGGTAACAATGGGAAGCCTATTAATTTCCCTCCCTGTCAGTGCTGTGGAGAGCCATTCTACATAAGGAGTGCTGTGACACTTGCTGATCACTTGAGCCAAAGAGAGCAACAGACTTTCCTTGTCAACTACAAAACTGGCAATATGGCCTGTTAAAAACCGAAAGTCTACAGGGGGTGAAGAACAGTGTTCCCTCACTTAAAAAGTTACAAAGTGGCATTAAAGCAATTTCTGTCTTTCTCATTCATCACGGTTTCTGGCTGGGACTTTTCAGTCATCATGTCATACCTGATCTTGCAATGATACCAGAGACAATGACAATCTGAAGTGGTGTTCTCAACAAGAACTCAACTCCTGGCCCATAAAGAATGGGAGTTACAGAGCTAAACAAATCAGCTGTCATTTATATGGTTGAAGTTTGCTGAGTGGCCCAGGACATGGGCTATTCCTTTCCTAATCATAAGCAGCCGCTTTGCCATGCAGCTGTCTTCTTTCCCGACACATCTTCAGAGGCTCAGCCTACTGTCAGGTGCTCCTCATTTCTTTACATTTTATAGATTGAAAATGTGCTATTTACGCACAGTTTTGCGTATGTACACACACCCATCACAGAGATTGACTTCAACAATTAGAAACGCATGGCCTAAGGCAACCTGTTTTTTCAGATGGAAGTGGGTCAAACTCGCTGGTGTTCAGGGAAGGCTTTCTCACCCTACATGCCAAACCTACATGCATCTTCTAGGTTCCTGCAAGTGCTGCTGACCCCACAGCAAGGAGAGGCAGGTCTACGGATCATGTGTACAAGTCAAATGGACACAGTAATCATGGGGTCCTTGCTGGAAGCTGTAGTAACAGTGATTGAAAGATGTCTGCTAAGGGAATAAGTGCAGAGCAAGTTGAATTGGCAAGTTCTGTAGCTGACTTCCACGTGTACTGAACTCACTGCAGCACACAGAGCCAAAACTCTGGTGAGGACTCAATCCCTTGTTCAATATTCAACTTGGACATCAGCTTCTCTGGGAGCAATCTCCAACGTCTTAGAACAAGTGATATGAGCCTCTCAGCCCCATTGCCAGAGTGAGGAGATGTCCTGGGTTGTCCAGGGCAGCACTGATTTTTATATGCTGCATTCTTTCCAGTAAGGGAAATTTCTTAGATATATAACTGAATGGGATTTAATTTTTTTATTAAAAATTTTTTTTAATATTTATTTTTAAGAGAGAGAGGGAGACAGAATGCGAGGAGGAGAGAGGCAGAGAGAGGGAGGAAGACACAGAATCTGAAGCAGACTTCAGGCTCCAGCTGTCAGCACAGAGACTGACGTGGGGCTCCAACTCACGAATCCTGAGATTATGACCTGAGCCAAAGTTGGATGCTTAACAAACTGAGCCACCCAGGCACCCCGAGAACTTAATTATTAATAGTTTTGAAGGACTTGAAATAAAATTCCAAATTAAAAAAAAATCTGTCAGATGAGTCCAAGATATTTGGTGAATACACACACACACACACACACACACACAACAACAACAACAACAGCAACAACAACACATGACCGCTAGACCCACATTATAGTTCCACAAGGACAATCATTGCCATCTCACTTTTATTATACTTTATTGGGTCTGTTTCTACCATAAGACAGCAAGCTCCTTCAGATCAGGGATTGCTTCATTTCTCTTAATAACTCTGCATCTAATTAGGGTGTCTAACATAGTAAACACCTGGTAAAAGCTTGTATATTACTGGAATGTCATAAGTCTAGCTGGGCCCCTAACATACAATTACAGGTACAGAAGGTAAGAGCGCAGACTGTGTGCTGAGTGTTGTCTCAAATTACTTTTGGAGCAAGACACTGTGTGAACCAATAAACCACACCAACCAGCCGATCAAAGGTAGGCAACAGTCCTTATTTGTCCTATCTCCTAGTACTACTATTAAGAAGGAGCTTCTCTGACCTACCTTTGTGTCCTACTAAGCTGACATGGTAATAGACTCAGCAAACGTACCTACTATATTTCCTCCAGGAACCTTTCAAAGGGAGTGCAAGGCAAGGAAGAACATATTTAAAAGTAACCAAAGGAGGCGATGAATGTCACATGACCCATTTCTTCACTGTAACAGGACTTCACCAAAAAGAGAAGAATGGCATGATCAAGGCAGAGTTGACCCCTTCATAAGGCAGCATTTTCTGCTCTGCTCCCAGGGAATGTGCCAGTTGCTGAATGGATAATACACATCTCAAGTTTTGGTAGATGTGCTCAGAATATGGAAAATAGGGAAACTCACATCAGTATCATTTATATTTTTTATATAGTCCTTCTCCCTTATTGCCATTTCTTTTTTATTTTCATGCCATTGGTTTCAGTAAGTCCTGCCACTGTCCCCCACGATGGATGCTTTTAAAGACAATTCCTAGAGAAACCAGGAACACCCCTGGGGATCATTAGATGAGTCCCGGTATCACCACCTGCCACATGGCTACAAGGAGCTGGAGAAAGACTCTCCATGCAGGGACAAGCTGATGCTTAAATGTATGCATGGGACTGAGGATGCCAATGAACAGTCTCCACATCCCAAATCAGATGGCTGATCCTTTTGGTCTCAGGAGACATGATGAGCTTGAAATGATCATCATACAGTCACAAAAGGTCATGATTGAAAACAGGATTGTAAACTGTCATTTAAGTTCAAGGTCAGAGGAAATGGTGTCCTCAGCATGAAATTTCAAGAGTCTGTAACTAGCTCCTCCCCCACAAGTTTAAATCTTGCTTTGTCATATTCAATTTTGCTGAATTTTACTCAGCTTCTGTGTGCAAGGCTTTGTCTAGTGAGTCAGAGTTACCATGCACCAAGTACCTCCTAGTGTCCAGCAGCAGGCTAGGGTTCTCATAATGCCCTGCAAGGCAGGCATGGCTGCCTCTATTTTGTAGACAAGGAAACTGAGAAGCAGAGAGGTGAAGGAATTTGTTCAAGGTCACAGAGCTGGGATTCCACCCAAGTGCTATGAGGAATATTGGTAAGTACAAGACTAGGCCCTGTGCTTAAGAAACCTACAGTTTAGCTTTGTAGATATACCTTGACAATGGAAAGTTGATTACTATGTAACAACATCAGTCAACAAATGGAAAGACTATCACAAGATTACATGATTACTTGTCAATTGAGAAATCCCGACCAGTTAAGGAGAGAAGGTGACTGCTGAGGTCTGTGGGGATCTCCTGAACACTCATAAGCAGGACACCTGGAATGCAGTGAAATTGCCCTATATCCATTCTCGGTCAAGAGTTGCTTTTTTTTTCAACGTTTTTTTTTTTTTTTTTTTTTTT